CCCTCGTTAATTACTGAAATTTGTAATATGTAACCATATCCATCACTCAATCGGACATTTGAAAAAGTGACGGAATTGATGACATGACAAATGGAGTTGCTCATGTGGCACGATATTGCAATAGTATGTCAAATCATGAAGTTGTCGATGACATGGAAGGATTAATAAACTGATTGAGCATTGAACTTTACACAAAGTTTTCAGTGGTTGATTGAACTTTAAAAGTTTTCAAGTTAATCACTAAACTTCGTAATATGTAATCCTTTCTATCACTCAATCAATGATTGTTGGAAAAAGTGAAGGGATGGATGACATGGCAAATAGAGTCATTTATTCGGCACGATATTACAATTGTGGATGCCAAATCATGAAGTTGTTGATGACATGGATGTCAAATTATGGTGCTGCTTCTACGGTCTACGCTGCGGCCTGAGATGGCGCACCGTATGTTGCCAAATGCGAAGTCGACGGGTGCTGACTCTGCAAAGAAAATAGGAGAGGAAAGATTAGGGTTTAAGTGAGGATTTGGGCGCAGGGGCCTATAATGTAATTTGTGAAATTGTAGGCACCTACTTGCATTTTCATATCGAGGCCAGTTTGCAAATGGTGGTTGGTGGTGGTGATGGCGGCGTAGCGTTTAGGTGGTGCAGGTGGTGGAGGAGTGGAATGAGGTGGGTTGAAGAACGTTTATGATAAATTATTTAGGTGTTTGTAACAAATAAAATGGGTAATTTTTTATCAATAAATAATATATGACAGATATAATGATTAATTTGTGAATAATAAATAATGTTTGACCAAAAAAATGTGTGATTGCGAGTAAACTTGTAATTGTGACTCGAGTTTTTGTCTCTTGTAACTGTAACCATAATTGTGTGTTATCGCGACCTTGACTTGTTCTCAGGTACTCACAAATAAACTCTTTTACAAGTTTCCTATTTTTGAAAGTGTATTTTGAAACCTTTGCAATTATGTATTTTTTTCCTAATAAACAACTGCAATTGGCTAAACATATGCAAATTGAATTAGAAGGTTTGGGCCAAATTGTTGTCCAAGAGACTTTTTAATCGTGGTAATTACATGAATCATACTTTAAGTTTTTAAACTTCTAAAATCAGATTGGAAATTTAATATTTCCAAAATCAAATATTTTATTTTAATTAAAATCTTTATAAAAATAAATATGCTGCAATTAATCCTAATTCTCACATTTCTCTCTCTCTCCATTCTCGCACCAGTCACCGTCCTCTCTCTTTCTCAACATTTCTCCACCGCCACCACACCGTCGGCACGATACCGCCGGCACCTCACACGGCGGTGTTGCCACCGCTTTTTTTCTACCTTTCCCTCCCCTCTCCCTCCGACAGCTTCGACATCAGCAAGTGGAAGAAGACTCTCCTCTCCATCCGACGATCACTCAGACAGCAACGCCCCGAGCGGCGGCGTTGCCGCTGCTTTCCCCCCTCATCTTCGCTGTTTGTTCGTTGATTTGAAGTGTTTATGGTGAAATTACGGTCGTCAACAATGCAGATATATTTTCATCAAATCAAATCTGGATCTCAAAACTAGATCGTCTTCCTCTTCCCCACCTGTTGTCTGAGTGGCGCTGTGGTTTTTTTTTC